TCTGGCGCTACAGCAGAAGGAGAACTTCTTGATTTTTCACCTCGATGCAACTTTCAAACTCAGTGACCTGGGGTATCCAGTTATAACCTGTGGCTTTACTGACCGGCGAAGAATCTACCACCTAGCCAGTATGTTTATTGTGAGCCAGCGAACTGAGCGTGAGTACTATGAGACTGTTGGTAGTTTCGTCAGGGTTTTTCGGGAGCGATTGGGTGTGGCACTGCGTATCGATGCTGTGATGGGAGACGCGGAGAAGGCTCAAGTAAATGGATTAGTTGCTATCAGTGGGTTTGAGAACAGCATTTACCTTATGTGCTTTATCCACGTACTATACAACGTACGTAAGCGTATGCAGCACCTTGCCGCAGCCCTTCGAGCTGTTGTGTACCGCGGAGCTCTAGATATGCACTACACGCTTAGCTGGGACCTTCTATATCTGGAGTGGAATCGCATTTCTCAGGAATGGCTCCTGGACGGAAGACTAGAAACTTTCACGAACTATTTCTACATTCAATGGATCGCTAGTCGCTTCTGGCGGTGGCAGATTTTTCATTCGCCGGGGGCTTTTGCAACTACGAACAATCCCTGTGAGGTTTTCAACGCAAGCATAAAGAGATACACACAACGCAAGGCGTGTGACACAAGGAGGTTGCTGCTAAAACTTCTGACGATAACGGAAGACTACTCTATATGCCTTCCCATGTCTGTAGCGGGCGGTCGAATTACACCGCCCAAGGAGGCTACACGATTGGCAAAAGTATTGGTTTCAACGAGTCGGGTAGCTATCTACGCTACGCCCACGCCTTCGGTGTTACGTGTTTTATATGTTGGCGATGATCGAGAGATCCCTACAGAGGTGAATGACATCTCGTCGCTTTCAGACGACGTTCCTCTGAGCAGTGAGCATCTCGCTTCGTGAATTTCCCCCGAGTGCCTTCAAGATGAGGAAAAACAAAAGGCGGCGAGCTTTTACAGGTCTGCTGTTAAGTGGTCAGTGCGTCGAGCCCACCACGTTGGTATGCCCAGAGAGGGGTGGGTGGTGCGAACAGACTCCAACCAGTGCTCCTGCTACTACTATGAAAAGTTTTTGTCTTGCGCGCACATTATTTGCGGTCGCGCTGCGTACGGTCTCAGCGTTCCTGGCGTCAACGGATACCAACTAAAATTTAAAGATCGACGGATTCGACGAAATGTACAAGGTCAAGGTAGGTCGGATCAAGAATTTGGTGGCAATGTACAGCGGACTCAGATGACATTGCCGGGAGGTTTACCCGCACTACCCTTAGCTATCCCGGATCATTTGCACTGCGGTCCGATACGCTATCCCTCGGGTCTTATGCTAGATTCTTACGCTCCCAACCAGATTTGGAGTGCGGGTGCGGTGGGAGTAAACCCCGAGGCATGGGATACGCGCCTTCCGGGTAATTACCAGTACGATAAGTGGAACATCACCCCTCAATACCCGACACCAACGGTGGCCCTGCCCTTGAGGCATACGCGTGGTAGACCTGCGCTAGCATCCCCAGCGCTAGATGTTCAATACGTACTACGCTGAGCTCAGCATACGAATAACATTTCCTTAGTTGAATGACACATTGCTTTGAATTCTTTCGTGAACAAGTCTTGTACTAGCTGTAGTCTTACCTAAGCGTGGCATCACGCTCGGTAAAACAAACCTCTGTTACGAGTTGCTAGTCTACTAGTACATGTTGCCGTACGGACAAGTAAGTGTTCACAATAAAGGTAAACTGTTAAATAATTGTTAACATTAGAGTTCACAATTACGTGCCAGTGTCACTTAATTGTGAACTCTCGGTCCACTATAAATTGACTAGATCGCATTATTGTGAGCCGCAGCCCATCTAGAACTTGGCACATAATTTTAGCACTGTCATTTAGTTATGAGGAGCTACATTGTGTGATAGTATTAGAAATTTAAAGTACTTAACCGAATAGGACCGGTCACTATAAAAAAATCCTTCGGACCGGTTCACTTTAAAGAAACATTCAATTTCCTCACTTCTTCCCACTTGGCACCCCCTGAGCTAACGAAGGGAGCGGGGCGGCCGTACAAGTTGGCAAGCTACGAGTTTCAGGCCTTGGAGTACTACGACAGAAGTTTGCGGGAGGACGGAGTGGTGCACTACGCAGACTTCCTGCGATACCTAAGAACTATTCCTGAATTTGCCATAATACACAAGGAAACGCAACGATCGCGAGCAAGACGCTTCATGAAACGATACGACCCCGGTAGCGAAGAGGCTGGGGCCGCAATAGCTGCTGTTAATGCCGGTGATCCTGCGCTACACGTGGAAGCTGGTACAAGTGGAGATGCAAATGCGGACAAATCATACCCCGTATCAGATGTCGCTCTCTGCGAATCAGGAGAAGGCCCTAACTCGAAATCAGTGGGAGATTCCGCTCCGATTCCATTGGATGCATCCGTTTTGGAATCAGACTTGGAGCTCCCAGGACCAGTGGCTAGCGTTGAATCAGGGGTGGAATCAGAAAAGAGAAAAAAGCCTCGAATTTGCCTTGAAAATCCAACTGGAGATCCCGACACCAAGCTCCTGCAACAGAGTACCGCCCCATACAGCCTGCGGCCACGAAATAACCTACTTACCCCTGTACGCATCTACCTTCACGCCGCAGGTAGGTCCGCAGAGCTTGTCTTGATTCCATTTTTCGCTGATGACATCGCCAGCGTAAAGGAAGGAGCTCCGATTACTAGCTCCGTGGTTGACTATTGTATCTCTCGTTACAAAAAATTCGAACCAGAGCTCATGTTACCTGCAAGATCGGCTGTATTTTCCGCCATTAACTACGCCTACATCAAGCACTCGGGTCGGGAGTCCAGCGCCCCCGACACAATTGGTGATTTTGATTGGAGTGGATACAAATATGTATTACTGCCTGTGGCGTTTAACGACCACTGGAGCGTTGTAATTATCCAGAATGGCAGTGACGCAAAAAAGATATATTATCACATCGACTCGCTTCACAATGGTCACGACAAGGAGTATATTTTCGCGTGTCTGGACTGGTGGTTTGCGGTTCTACACACGAGCCGTGGGAGATTCGAGGCAGCCAGGGGTTTTCTCACACCTGCAAGCCCCGCCAGACTAATGCGGTAGATTGCGGCATATATATGCTGCACTACCTTTACAAGGTCGCCCAGCATATCAAGCAGCACAAGCCAAGTTCCATCCTGCTGCAGATTGAGACGCTCGCCAAGGGTGGCTTCAATGCCAGCAAGGCCAACCAAGCCAGGACGTCTCTGCTTTCTCAGCTCACAAAGACTATGTAAAAGCTAGCTACTAGGACACAGATTTACTGAATTAAGTCGTTTAAAATGACAAATTTTCTCTTCTCCGTTGATGTACGGCTTGCGCAAGCTAGGTAGGCCTCCATGCCTTGGAGCCTATTAAGCATGGACCCGCTCTAAACTACAGAGCGAAATGAAGACACGCTGCCCACAGATAACAAAAGCCAGGATT